CGGTTTTGATGATTAGCCAACAAAAGTTTTCACCGACCAAATTTCCAAAAATATTTTTGGAAATTCATAAATATCAGACGTAATAAATATCATAACGCAATCACGTTCAGCAGTGACAACGGTCCAACGATGGACGGCGTTATGAATAGTGGTCGAGCTTCGATTGCATTCGATGTGAGTACAAACCGTGCAATTGAGCGTGCCCCATCCCACGCCTCGTCCAAGCACGTTCCATGCGGTCTGCGAAAGTCGTCCTGGCTGGAGGGGTCTTCACAATGTCTCTTCTTAAAGTTCTCTGCTCATTTCGTCTCACGAGCGAATTAAAAGGAGGACATTATTAGTTTCGTGGAAGAAGGAGTTGGTCGAGTGCTCTTCGGGCGCGTTTAGGAGGAGGGAATTCTAAGTTGAAGAATTGAGAGAAGGCAAAATGATATCTGGACTTGGTGCAAATTGTCGCAGGCACAGGATGAGGACTTCATTAAAGAAGCTCCAGAAGAACGAGGATGTTATAATTGCAGAGAGGGAGGATTGCTGGAGGAGGTTCTCGAAGGGAGAGAGAAGTTCGAATTGAAATAATTTACCGGACGACCAAGATCTGGACAAGGGACATCACAGGGGAAGGCTTTCTGGAGGAAGCTTGAGGATGGAGAAGGAGGAAGACGATGAGAGAAGTCTGATTGAAATAATTCAGAGAAGGATAATGATCTGGCTTGGGTGTCTTGTCCCATGGAGGAAGCTTTGGAAGGGTGGAACACTACGATTGGAACAATTCAGATGAATGTCAACGATCTGCATTGGTGCATATCGTCAGATGACCATGACTTTCTTTGAGGAGTCTCTAGAAGAATGGAACATCTTAATTGACATAATCCAGACAGAACAAATATAGGACCGGGAATATGGTCAGAGGGTGCAGGCTTCATCAATAAAAGGTCCAGAAAAGAAGATTAATTTTAATGATAGCAAGTCAGAGGAGGAGAGCGATCTGGACTCGGGATTATGTCAGAGAGGCGATGTATCGCTGCAGGATGTTCTCAAAGGAAGCACGTTCCGGAGCAAAAGGCCAAGAGTTAGAGAGTGAGACGCCTCCGCTTGACAACGTGAAGACACGGGGTCCGTATGAGGAATGAAACCCTCGAGATTAAAGGAGATGGAGGAAATCTGATACTAGAACCTTGCCTGAGTCAGAGACCTCAAGATGTTGAGTGGACCAGCTCTGGACTCCTCTATAATGTCAATGCTTTAACACAAAACGAATGTGTCATCAACATCATCGGCCACGGTAAATTCTGTGATGGATGAAGGTCTCTAACAAGCATCTACTGCATGCTATTAGATATTTGCTAATCATGGTGGTGGAGCGGTGGCGCCGTGCTTATCACGCTGCACATTAGACCCGAAATTGGAAACACAAGTACTCGTTTTACCGACCTCAGAGTGATGATGATGATGACGACGATTGGCCGAGTCAACCTCCACTCCACTCCCCTCCTCCCCAACCCCAACCAGGATTTGAACTCGCAAACTTCCGATTGCGAGCCAGTCTCTCTCCCGTGCCCCCCGAGCCACCTGTACAACGTCTACAAAGTCTACAACGTCTACAATGTCTACAAAGTCTACAATGTCTACAAAGTCTACAAAGTCTACGAAGTCTACAAAGTCTATAAAGTCTGCGAAGTTTACAAAGTCTACAATGTCTACAAAGTCTAAAACGTCTACAAAGTCTACAAAGTCTACAACATCTACAAAGTCTACGAAGTCTACAATATCTACAAAGTCTAAAACGTCTACAAAGTCTACAAAGTCTACAACGTCTACAAAGTCTACAATGTCTACAAAGTCTACAATGTCTACAAAGTCTACAAAGTCTACAACATCTACAAAGTCTACAATGTCTACAAAGTCTACAACGTCTACAAAGTCTACAAAGTCTACGAAGTCTAAAACGTCTACAAAGTCTACAAAGTCTACACCGTCTACAAAGTCTACAACGTCTACAAAGTCTACAAAGTCTACAAAGTCTACAACGTCTACAACGTCTACAACGTCTACGAAGTCTACACCGTCTACAAAGTCTACAACGTCTACAACGTCTACGAAGTCTACAAAGTCTACAACGTCTACAAAGTCTACACCGTCTACAAAGTCTACAACGTCTACAACGTCTACGAAGTCTACACCGTCTACAAAGTCTACAACGTCTACAACGTCTACGAAGTCTACAAAGTCTACAACGTCTACAAAGTCTACAAAGTCTACAAAGTCTACAACGTCTACGAAGTCTGCAAAGTCTACAACGTCTACAACGTCTACGAAGTCTACAATGTCTACAAAGTCTACAACGTCTACAACGTCTACGAAGTCTACACCGTCTACAAAGTCTACAACGTCTACAACGTCTACGAAGTCTACAAAGTCTACAACGTCTACAAAGTCTACAAAGTCTACAACGTCGACAAAGTCTACAACTTCTACAAAGTCTACGAAGTCTACAAAGTCTACAACATCTACAAAGTCTACAAAGTCTACAAAGTCTACAACGTCTAGAAAGTCTACAAAGTCTACAATGTCTACAACATCTACAGCGTCGACAAAGTCTACAAAGTCTACAACATCTACAACATCTACAAAGTCTACAAAGTCTACAACATCTACAAAGTCTACAAAGTCTAAAACGTCGACAAAGTCTACAAAGTCTACAATATCTACAAAGTCCAAAACGTCGACAAAGTCTACAATATCTACAAAGTCTATAACGTCTACAACATCTACAAAGTCTACAAAGTCTACAATGTCTACAAAGTATACAATATCTACAAAGTCTACAAAGTCTACAATATCTACAAAGTCTACAATATCTACAAAGTCTAAAACGTCGACAAAGTCTACGGGACACCCAGGCTGCATCGCGCTCACATGCGCCAGGGGTTGTGACGTTCCCTCCATCACAGTGCCGCTGTGTTCGTAAAGTAGCAGTGAATGCGTGGCTTTGTCTCGACTCGAGAACCCTGCGTTTCATCATCTCGGCGACAACCGGACGGTGCCACGTCTCGGCCCCAAAAAGATACTCGCGGACGGATAACCGCGCACCGACATCGCGTACTCACCATCGATGCCTCCTGCTGTCACGTTCGGCTACGTACGGGGCGAAAAAAGTTCGGCACACGATACGCAAACAAAACCTACTTGTCGTATTTATTTGAATTTATAACCAAACAAACAAAACAGTGGGTCTTAATAGTACGCGTTTCTGCCGCATTGTTAAAAAGACGATCCGGCAAAGCGTAGCATTTGCAAATCGTAGCATCTGCAACGATTTGTGAATCGTGGCATTTGCTACCGTTTGCACAAATAAGCAGGCAAATAAATTATAATTTGAATGAAAGATGTCACTACTGGTAAGACAAAAGCGGCCGAGCGCGTTCCTTGCCTAGTGTAATGTTACACACATGTTATACACATGTTTGCTCCGTGTGTAGCGCATGCAACGCCACGTATATGTACACAGTGCATTGTGAAGTACGGCCATGATTTTGATTGAAGGTACTTTATTTAACCAAACGAGAGTCAATTTACATCGTAACTATGGAACGTACAAGCTGTAATTACCACAATTACGCATATTACAATTAGCAGCTGATGTTTTTTTTTAAATGTGGGATTTAAATATATATAAACAACGACTCAATGCCTATTTGTGTCGCTAGTTATCTATCGGAGGTCTTTAACATCCACGATACAGCAGTAGGGACACGTTCATTATTCCCTGCGGATATATGCGCTTTTCGGATGACCTGATAACTCGAAATGCGTCAGATTTAATCAGATTACTCGAAAGCTAAGCGTAATTTTTGAGCCTGGATAGTGGCCGTGTATGAAACAGGTGTTATGGTGGGACAAGCACAGTTAAATTCAGGCACGTCCATTGTTGTACTATACGTCTATGCTTCTCGCGTCTTATGATACCAGCCACCTTCACCAACCCGCACTAACCAGCATGGTGGTGAAATATGGTCAACCAACCCTACACGAATCACACGCCGTGGAGAGGCTCTCATCCAGCAGTGGGTTGCCCTGGATTCAATCACTCACTCACCCATTCACTCACTCACTCACCCACTCATTCAATCACTCATTTAATCACTCACTCATGAAATCACCCACTCATTTAATCACTCACTCATGAACTCACCCTCTCATTCAATCACTCACTCACCCACTCACTCACAGCCACTCACTCGCCTACTCGCCCATTCACGTACTTAATCAGCCATTAAGTGACTCACTCAGTGGATCACTCACTCACCCGCTCATCACACTGCAGGTCAGCACACTTCTGTTTCTGATCCGGCCCTCGCACCGGTCGACGTCGGGAATCTCCCCCCCCCCCCCCCCCCCCCAATATCGTCCCTTGTGCCAGGCTCTCACATCGACTTTGCTCCATTTGAACAAAGGCGTTAACTCTTAATCTAATTGCAACAAATAACGTTCTGTTTGTCGCCGGCCGCTCGGCGTTTTGGGGAATGTATGCCCGTGGTTGAGACTGGGGTTGCCGCACAAGTGTGCCACGGTGGTGAGATGTTAAATACATCGCCTGGTATGCAGGAGACGTAGGTTCGATCCCGACCCTGATGCCAGCTGAATCTTTGGAGTTTGCGTGTCTGTCTGTCTGTCTCTCTCTCTCTCTATCCACGTGGTCGAGTGGATTTTTTTCTAGGTCTTCCGGATTTTTCCCCTCCACATTTAGATTCAAGGTGCGTTTAGTTTAGATTATTTATCTGCTGTAAATTTTCACTTGATAAGCCACTTCGCTGAGCTACCGTTTGTGGCCAGGTCGCTTTTGAAAGATATAGCTCAGTGGGCCTTACCTGGTCAGATATAAAAAAAAAGTTAATATTGGTAAACTTGCGCGTCTGCCGATTCTGCTCGTGTAATCTAGAGTTTGAAGTTTGTTTTATTTGGAGTTTGTGTCACACGCGGCGTGGGATGTTTGCTTGCAGGAGGAGCAAGGTGGTGATGGTGATGATGGAGTTGTGGAGATGCTGCAAGATCGACATCGAGAAGAATCAATCAGAGTACTGTATTGCTTAATGTGCGTATCCGTGTGTGTGTGTGGTGTGTTACTTGCACGTGTGGACACACACACACATTTACGCGTGCGCAGACACACAAAAGACAACGATCCCCCACATCGCCTTGAGCAGACTGCTGGGGCAAGTGCTGTTAGCGACCACCTATTAAGGTTTGGAACCGCACACGAAGGGTGGATGGCCAGCGCCATGTCCGGAGGTACTTGTCTCCCCAAACGTTGATGTTGACTGCACACAGCACCAGGTACTCATTTGAGGCTGAGTCAGCCTAGGGGAAGCTCAGGACAGGTTCAGACAATCGTCACCGATGTTGGCTGCGAGCGGGAATCTCACACGGATCGCTGTGCGCTAACCACTGTACCACCGCTCCCACAACCACGGCCATATATAACCATATACCCCATGTGACGCACATAGAGTGTTGGGGAAAGTGCTGCTATCAGCGAAAACCTATTAGGGCCAGTACGGCGTACGAGCGGGTGGTGTAGAGAGCGCTCCACGCCCGAGCGCTTTTGATTCTCCCCGAGCGAAAAGTTATACACACATCCCCCACCCCCGTTCATATAAATGTGATCACATTGAGACTACAGAACGGCGCGCAGATAAATCAACGGACACACAAACACTTTGACGAGCGATTTCAGCTAGCTCGTGTCCATTGAGAGCGACGCGAGTAGGGGACAGTTTTAATTATTTTTTAAATCCGAGACAAGTGACATTAGTTGAGCGAACAACAATTCCACGAAGCGTTTGCTCTCGGCTATGATGGCCCGGACTCTGATAAGATCTCTCCGCACGCAAACGCATAGATTACACCTCCTATTTACCATATTGCAATACACGCAAGGTATGTTTACGATTATACAATGATGTTGTTATTTGGCAGAATTTTTTTCTTCACACGCGAGTCGAGGGCGAACGGGGGAGTTGTAAATGAAATGTAATTATGCATTGGATCATCATCACCATCATCATAATATATCATCATTAACATTAGTCATAGTCGATCCACAGCTGGATGAATTCTTACTCACGCGAGTAAGTTAGAATATTTAATGTCTCGTCATCTGCCACACGAGCTCATTTCATCACTCCATCTCCAGGATGTACGTTCCTTCTTTCGGACGCGTTCCATTCGATTGGCACGGTTGGCTCGTACGGTGCAAAAGAAGTCCAACATACATACATACATATACCCCCCCCCCCCCCTTTTTGAGGATATTTAATTATTGCCTGTGTTTATTTAAAAAAAATATTGTACAGGAGCTTTTATTAATGTTTAGAATTGTCGAAAATGGGAACAATTGCATTCAAAGTTGTCTATATATGTTTTTTGTGCATTGAGAATGTTTATTCGTAGTTGAATATAACGCATCAATGGAGAGTGACTCGAGTATAAAAAAATTATTATATATCACAAGGTACACATTCGACTAATGCACATATACTGTATGCATATTATGAATTACACACATGCAAAAACAGTCGCAATACGTGTATATAAAACATAATTATATACACATTCACATTGTATATTTATACAGTATATACATACATGCATACATACATGTATGCATGTATGCATATACATCACGATATCTATATCATAACTCATGCATAAACATGGACATACAATTATAATTATATTGTATTTATATACATACTACAGGTGACAGTATGCCACATGTATACAGTCTACATTCTACAGGTGTGTGTGTGTGTACTGTATACGAATTATATACTGTATTGAAAGTTACCTAAACAGTCGATGTTGTCACATCGAATTATGCGGCGCTAATTTCACAACGAAGTATAACACAATATATACAGTGATCTCTTTGAACAATAGCTATTTTTTTCCTAATATAGTGAGCATCCAAATTGTCTAAACGAAGAGTAGTCAACTCGTCTGTTGAACACGTACCAAAACAAAGGATGAATTGGCGTCCGTTCTCTATGGAATATTGCATGTCGCTGATCCTTCACGGCATACACGCGATTGGATTAGTGGCAAGTGATAATTACTAAATTGCTGCACAATCCAAGATCGCATGCAATTTTGGTCACGCGTCTGTTTGTTTAATGGTTGTTTGGAAGTAAAAAAAGGCACGTAATAATAGGGGCATTATAATGACGACGGCAAGCACTATTATAAAGGATGTTGCGCGCACACACACACACAGGACGCAACACAGTGAGGGGGTTTGATTAAACATTTAAATATATACATTTACATGTTAAATATACATTCTCAATTGGGTGGTTAGATTTCATAATGTAGTTATGTTAAGACCATAGCTATTTGCGACACACACACTATATTTAGGTAATGGTTACATCAGTGCCATACATATGTGTATACACACACGCCATATATGTATTTTAAAACGTGTAAGGTTTGATATATATGTAGATTGATATACTCGATGTGCTGTATATGAGATTGTAAGAAATGTTCGTATGCATATTAAATAGCAATGTGGATGCCTAATAAAATACGGAGCACATAAAAGCGTGTGCTTGTTATTCACGTGAATACATAAAGTGAAATGAAAAAAAAATGGTTTCGGAATAGTGCTACATTTACACAATGGACGTAACTTAGAAGAAACGTAGCTTAAGAGGAATGTTACTTAGCAAAGCTGTAACCTCAGCGTAAAATTTCGTGTTTTGGACAGTGCTACTATATACTATACTTATATGTGTGAAATCAGCATCACCGATTATCACGGTTGGCTTACGCAAGGTACGAAAGGAATTCTGCATACATACATACAAATTAATCCAGACATACTCAGCAAAATAAACGATTATAGAGTGTTCCACTCATTGCCATGCAATCAAATGACATTGCATACAAAAGTTACATCGCATGTATAGGGAAACACCTGTAAATATACACCTGTACATACACATGCATAAACATGCATGCATACATGCATATATTCCACGTACATACATTCAAACACACATACATACCTGTTAAGACACGTAACATACATTCATACATAGAAACACCCACACTGTACATCACGACACGTATATCTGCATTGTATTCATGGGTATGTATGACATACTCAGCGAGTAGAATGAATAAGGTGTGCAAATATAGAAACAAAAATAGGCATCTATAGTTAACGTGTTTAAAGCATATGCCGCAAAGTTATATTTCTTAACGGTGATATAGTGATCTTGCTTATGCTTAACAGCAATGCATAGCATCACATATATATACATACACACAAACATGTATACTGACTAACAATACAACCACCACACCACACACGTTCTTGCAAACGCAATATATAATTGCGTGTATATTTAATAAATACATGTAATAGTCATCGTCTATATGGGGTGCTCTTGTCAATAACATCTGCTAATCCTGCGGTATTTGGTGTAAAATGCCTGACTCTGCTGATGAGACCAAGAGGGGTCAAAACCGGTGCAGGAGTTTGCTTGCTTAAACAAATGCTGGCTGCTATGGATAATGTTGGTCTGGAAATTATGGACTATACGTACGTTTTATAACTCCACAGTTGATAATTGCACAGGAGAGCTTATCTATACAGACATTATCTAGCGTCAAGCGTAATTGTACTTTGAACTATGTCGATAAGTGTATGACAAAGATCCCACTTATATCATCAACAGACCTTTTACGGGCAAGTGCTGTTCGCGAACATCTATGAAAGCCGTCACGTGGTGGGTGGCCAGCAGCACGCCCGGCCGCCTTTGTCTCCCTAATTTCGATGAAACTACGTGACACACACACACGCACAAACATGCTAAGGTGATAATATACTTCACGAGTCTCATCTCACAGGGACAGCTGCCATCAGGGGGTCCCCGAGGCTAAATCAACTGCGGCTTGGGGTAGTTTGTTATTTCGTGGGATGTAACACAAATGCAAGTACGTATTATAATATATGTGTCTATATACAGTGTTCATCTAGACTGTGTACACTTTGCCAGCTTGTGCAGCATTGGCAATAAGCGTTACGTTCAGATCGAGAGAGTGTTGACACCCCCGCGGGCGCGTTCACCAACGCATCGGGTGACGCTGTCTCAAATGCATCTGTCACGCGCTCTTAAAGATCACTCAGGAATGCCTGTAAACTAACAACACAAAGGTACAACTTTGAATGCACGAAGGGATCACCGTGCCAATATTTCAACCGCACGCCGCTCAAAACAACTGCTGCCTATAAATGGTACTTATTTAATAGAGGCAGTCACATAATCAGAATCTTTAATCCGACTGGAGGAATCCGCTGAGCTTTGAAGCGCCTTCTCCTAGATGTCCAGCGGAACAACAACAACTCCCCCCCCCCCTCCTGTGTGTACGCGACGATTCGTTTCTAAATATCCAACGAACAAAAAAAAAAGACGAGGGTAAATATTTTAAAGACAAGCAAGAAACGTCGTTTTAAAAGCGTCTCCCATTGATGTAAATAGTCACAAAGAATGAAAATGTTTCTTTCCACGGGGAGGAAGCCCATGGGCTGTGAAGATCTTGTTCACAGACGCCCAGTAAAGGTCAAGGCCCTGCAATTGACGGACGGATCTTCACTCGAGCCATCTCGAGAGCGGTGTTGTGTCTCCTCTTCCCACGGTGAGCATGCGTGCTGCCAGGGGTTGAGAGGTGGGTCGTACCCACACTTTACCCCGCCGCACGCACGCACGCACGCCACGTGTCGATCGACTCAATGCGGTTGTACTCAATTGTACTGCTGTGTGGACGAAGGCAGTGGTGGGATTTGAAAGAAAGAAAAAAAACCCCTTTATAAATGTGTACACTGCCGCGCCAGGAGATGGACTGTAAGTTGAACTTCTTTCGCACCGTACGTAGCCAACCGGGCTAATCGGAGGTGCGGGGGAAGGGCAATAAACTAAACGCAAAAAAAAGCAGTTGTAAAGAAATTCGTTTTCAATGTAGAATCGGGAGAGATCTCAATTTTCTAGGCACACGCACACAGCTCGGCTTTTGAACAGCAGGTCA